TCTTTTATCATGGTTGCTTTAAATAATATGTATATCTTTTCCTTCTTTTTTTCAGAAACCGTCACATATCTGTACAGCTGTTATCACTGATTATGGATTTAAAAAATTATCAAGAATTTTAAATATTTGTAGCAATGAAGTCGTACAAGACGCGAATACTACTGGATTAAAATTATGTAAATAAATGTAATTATATACGCATATACATAAATGTTTGGGGATTTTTAGATACGCTTACAATTCAAGGAATCCGATTTAGGAACAAGAACGAATGATTTTGACGCAGAAGAAAGTTCACTAATCGTAGTAGTTGGTATCGAATTTCTGAACTTCATTTTGATAAACGGCAGTGAAAATTTCAATATTTACGATTGCTTGTAAAATCGTCACAACGCCACATAGTCATGCGAATCTGTGGTTTCTTGGGGCCGTTTAACTAGATCCATTTGTGTGATCCATTTATTTATAGACAAGCATTTATAAAATTGATCTATCTAACTTTCCGTTATATAATTCATCTTTAACACCACCGTACAAATTGATCTTCGGCGATGTAGATATCGCAATTTAAATTATTCAGGCATGTGACAAAAATTTGATGTCTATTGACAATGTTTTGACAATGTGGGGGCTGGAAAAAGTAAAGAAAAAAATTGACACGGTAGATAAAATAGATAACGATACAGTAGGACATGTTCCGTAGGACGATCAGAATTCGAAGTCGAAATATCTAGCTTGTAAACTATCGTAAACGAGATTAAAACGCTTTTTCAATTTTTCCAATTACCAATCTTATCTGGTTTTGCATTTTTTTCCAGTTGTTGCTTCAATAACAGATTCCGTGTTTTCAGATAAGTTACGGAGCTGGAGCAAAGATGCCAAGCGAAGTATTTTGGGTCTCTCATCATGGAAATAATTTCGAGATCCACAGCTCCACAGCAAGTATGTTGTTTGATTTACCGTTCGAAGCTCGGTTGCACGCGGGCAAATGCGCATGCATGTGTGCGTCGGCTGTAACACCATCTAGATATTCACCTAAAGGTCAGTCGAAAGTATATTTAGACTTTCATGGGGTTCTGTGAAAAATAAAAATAAACGTCTCCTTGAAGTACAAGGGGGGTCACGGAACTTGACTGACACCAGAAATTATAGCTGCATAATTGGATTCCTCTGGGTTCCGAAGATAAGCAAGTGGCTAGATAACAACATTCTCCCTGAGTCGAGTCGTTCATCTATCGAAAATATCGATTAGAGTTTGTCAAACACGAAAATAAACAACTTGTACTCCATGGAAATTAATGGGTTAAGAACAGTAGCAACTGTTTGTCAATTATTTATATTTTCCTACCAATTCTATGAACTGTGAGTCCTTTATTATCTCTACCCCAATAGAAAGATTGGGTTTCAAATGATTAATTTTGGAATTAAATATTAAAAACACACAGGTGTTTTTGGTAAAATTAATTTTGACCTTCATCGAGATAAAAACTAGGTTATGTATACCTGTTTATCTTCGTCATACGTCCTCAATTAGAATCATACATAGATACACACTGAAGATTAATAACCCAAGTACTAACTTTAGGTTTCCCAGTGCAAATATAATTATGTGACAATGAACACATTGCCAGTTACTTACAATAAAACACACAATACATATAAATATGACATAATTAGATTTTACATTATAAGTCTTTCTTCCATAGGATTTTTCACTAATCTTACAAAAAAAATGTCCTGACATCTATCAAGTGTCACTTCAACGCTACCTCTTCATTACATCTCTCACACACACATCATCCCAATACTCCCTTCGCCTTTTTTTCCTTCTTCCCCCACATATCAGCACCCATTTCTCATCAATTCTGACACCTATACCTAAACACCATAGGCCTTCGTTTCAAAACAACAGGAAAAAGTTAACCCTTTCGTAATCTTCAATTTTACAGGTCTCATTGGAATCGATTGATAGCACAGAATTTCGCGTTATCTTATCCCAAAAAGGCGTTTCGAGGGGAAAGAAGCAGGGAAGGTGGAACAGGCCACGTTCGAAGGAGTCGGTTCCTTGGGGAGCAGCGTCCTCCATGTTTGAATCGGCCGGTGAAACTGGCGGGCACATTTTTTCGGTGATTGCGGCGCCGCCGGGGCACCGATAACCGATAAGGGCCGCGAGTTACACGCCGATAACCCCGTGGAACCCGTACATGAGGTCAACCGGGGAGCGGCACGCTTTCCTCCTACACGGCCGACTTCGTGGCGTTTATATTTAGATTATCAATGGCCGGCCGGGTGTACCAGGAAACACGGGCACGCTTAGAAGAAACCGCCCAGGGATTCCTGGAAATCGGCTCGCTGGAGATTGCGAATAGATCCGTTTCCACGATACCCGAAAACTGGTCTCTGAACTGATCCGCCGAGCCATTTCGCTGGCTAACGTCGATGGGACCACCAGCGAGTCTCTGAAGCGAGGATACAGCCGGAGGAATTCGTTACAAATGACTGATCTATATGGGGTTGGAACGATCATCGTGAAAGGTAAATATAGAGGGTAGAGGAATTTGAGATTGCTTTCAAGGGTAGAATAGGGGAGTGTTTGAGGGTGAAACTAAGTTGCAGGTGCTTTGTGGCAGTTCCTGGAAGCGTTTATGTACCTAAGGTAGGAGCGAATCAAGTGGAGATCCAGTGATGGAAGAAGAGGTAGATCGGTGCGTTGACTATTCCGGTTGAAAGTAGAAGATGGTTAAAAGTTTTTAATCAGCCTATTGTAGAGATTGGTAGCCTTGGTGCAAGGCAAAGGTTCGAGGAAATTTGTACCAATTACCTTGGAAATGATTGATAAAGAAACAAGGGTAGAAACTTATGGAAGACACCCAATGTTAGATTATAAGGACTCTTTTAATTTGTCACCTGGTGAAGGACTTACAAGCGGAAAGAATAACTCAGTTGGTTAAAAGATTGACTGATTTAAGAGGTTCAGGAAGAGGTAGGTATATCTCTGGAAATTGAGAAAGATGGGATTGAGTTGACATAAAAATCGTCAATATGAACGTAGTTCCGCAAGAGGTCACAAATGAATTATTGATATTTGATACAGATTATCTATAATCGTCAGATCAAGTCATATAGTTGTTTCGTAAGGTTATACTTCGCGAATCTTGTTCCGTTGAAAGAAACCTAAGCTGAAGTTACTTTTTATTATCAAAATTTACGTAAATACAAGCAAACAACGTCGTAAATGATAAAAGATTTGTTCAGAAAAATAATATTCCTTAATTTTTATAATCTAGTTCATTATATAATGCAAAACTTCCTATGATAAAATTTCTACCATATCTTTTTGAACAACATTGTTGATTATGGAATGCACGATCTACTCCATCACGTGTCACATATTTTGAAATTCCAAGTTTAAAGAACTTTTATTTGGGCCAAGATAAGAAGAATAATAGCGTTCGCCAGATAACAGTCTTTATAAATTCATTGCTTTCCTACTTCACTTACCCTTTCTTGAGAAACTTACATATTCGTATATCCATGCCTTCCAAAATTATTTTTTTAATTAATTAATCCAACACCATACCGACACCACACAATCCATTTATAACATTTATTATTCCACAGATTTTATATGAAACAAAATCCTGGCTACAGAGGGTTAACCCCCCTGCACCCTCTCTTCTCTACATTCTCCATCCTCCGGCATCTCTCACAGCTTGTACCCTGCAGATTGCAAAGGCTATTTATACTCACCACATTCGCCACTGAAGCAGTCTCAACCTATCCAGGATAAATAAAGCTATCAGCAAAGAATAAGAATGACATAATTCAAGACACAAAGGGTGAACTCCATCTCCTTCTTCCCAACCTTTCACCATTGCTCCATCCCTCACGACATCTTGCCGCTTGCTACCCAACCCCATTTTTCCCCCACTCTCGCCTCTCACGTCCTCACTCATTTTTCTTCCATTTTTCTCTCCCTCTAATCTCTACCCTCCTACACTTCGTATTTCTCCATGACTTCCTCCCACCCGAGTGGCGTCGTCATCGTCGTCCTCCATGCCAACCAACGACACCAAAGGCAACGTCCGCCGAAGACAATCGAATTTCCACTGAGTGGCGGAGAGGGCGGGAAGTGCGACGAACCATGGAGGGAAATCGAAGCGCCGCCGGTGACTCACGGACATCCTGGCGCGCGTTCTATCATTCGCCGCGGGACGGCGCGTAACGAAGGCGATAAAAGGCCGGCCGCCCCGCAGCCGTCCGCGCCTCTTACATAAAAGTAATAACAACCGTTGGACGCGTGCCGCCGCGAACGGGGCCCAGGTCGTATAATCGTGCGGCCGTGGCGGGTGCAGCCGCCGCGATGCCCGGTTTTATTCCATCCAGGAGGAGGGCCGCGAATTGCGAAACCAACGTTTGACCCAGCGACACTGATACGAAGCATCTTGATTAAGTTCATATATAACGACCTTTGCGTTGGCTCTCGCTCCTGGCCTCGTGGGAACGAACGACTGGGAAAAATCAAAAATTGAATACTTTTATCTTTTATTTTTCGTGGAATGAAGGGGTTTGGGGTATTTTTTTGTTTGAGATCAAGTGGAGAAGCTTGAGGATGGGTTTTGGATCTTAAGATGCGTTACTGATATATTGGTGATATTGGAGGCATTGAAATTGGGATATGAATATATTTATTTTTATTTGAACTTATCAGAGAAAGTATAATATGCGTTATAGTTTTCTTTTCATGGTCAGAAAATATATGGTCGGTGGTATAGGTAAATCTTTAACTCTGCAATTATCTGAGTAATCAGAATATTTGATTCTGGGCTCTTTCTATTTGGAGTTATTGAAAATAACAAGTACTTTTAGGAAAATTATTGTTGACTTTCCTTTAAATAGGGATTTAATTATATAAATATTTATTTTCCTCATACTACTTTAACTAATATTTTATTTGTAAATATATGGTTAATCTAGGAATATCTGGTGACACTGTAAAATTTCAGTCCATGTAGATATTTGTTACGTAAATAGTTACAGAATTGTAGTTAATGATTATAACGATATAATCAACAACTATGCCTCGTCCGAAATCGTATGATCCCTGTAACCGTATTACCCAAATAATTGGTTATCGAGCGAATTGGATGTTCCAGCTTTGATAAACTTTCTATTTTAAACGTCGCCAGTGTCGCAGATGCAATATGAGGAAAAATAAAAGTATCGTACTTGTGGAAAGAACGGGCGTGAGATAAGTGATCGAGTAGAATCCTGTTTTAAATATGTTATAATCAATTAAGCAATTAAGCGAGATCGAAAAATGTGATGGAATAAATTAATCAGAAGAGCGTTAAAAATGAAGGAAAAAATGTGGGGAATGAAATAAATTGAATTAAATTAAATTCGCAGACTACACAATGCAAGATCACGAAATGGAGACGAAAATAAACAGGGAACAAGATGCAGAAAATAAAAACTAATGTTGCGGATAGTTTGTTTACCACTTACGGGTCGATGGAAGAAAAGGGTAGCTCGAAGGATGCGTGCATAATGAACGCGTCTGTTAAATATCATCGGGTAAAGAGAGGGTTCATAATCGATGCAACATCCCAGAGGGAAAGCAGTAACAGTTAAGTCATGGAGAGATTCAGTCCACCGGCAACGTCGTTGAAGAAAAGAATCAGCCCCCCAATTGCGTGGAATCTTGGTCTCACCAGCAAGGATCCAAGAATTGTCAAAGTGATTTTATTGGGCCATCAAGGTGTCGGTAAAAGTGGTAAGAAATAAATTAAATAATAAAATAAAATACATAAAATCGTAATAAATAAAATATTGCAATGACTTGTAAAATGACTAATGCATTGGCCCCAAAATTTTCTAGTTCCGAAATTTCCCTATTTCAAATTTTCGAGCTTGTAAATTTCATATTGCCGAATTTTGGAATTGTCAAATTTCACACTTTCGAATTTTCGAATTCTAAATTTTACATTTCCGAATTTTGAAATTGCTAAATTTCACATTTCCGAATTGTCAAATTTCACACTTTCGAATTTTCGAATTTTCGAATTCCAAATTTTACATTTCCGAATTTTGAAATTGTTAAATTTCACATTTTCGAATTTTCAAATTTTCAAATTTCGAATTTTTAATTTTCTAATCCTCAAATCTTTGAATTTTCCAAAATTTCTTATACTAATATTTAGCTCTAGCGGTGCGATTTGCAACGAAACGATACATAGGGGAATACGACTGCTCCATCGAGAGGATTTACAAAGTGGACAGCTTCCTGGACGCCGCATGGGAGATAACTGACCCCCCGGGGTATTTACCACCTCCGTCTGAATTGAAATTGCGTTGGGCAGATGCCATCGTTCTCGTTTACTCCGTGTCGGATCGTGTCAGTTTTGACGAAACATCTCGTCTCCGGTGAGCAGTGAATCAATCAACTTTCACATATTTGAGAAACCTAACCTACATAACCTCCTTCTTAATCCAATATTTTCAATAAACTCAGAAAAGAGGGAAATAATTTGCCAAGCGATGTGTGAATATATCAACGAATATAATTAACTTCTAACCTATTTTTAAATCGTGCAAATATCAAAGGGTTGAACTATATGTAAGAAATGTCAAAACCCATTCGCTGGGGGAAAATATTTCTTCGATAAATCCTTAACAACAAATCTTTATATTTGCAAAAGATAATTTCTACAATTTTTACTTTTACCACAAATATTTTTCACAATAATATTTTTTACCGAATATTTGTAATCGTTATTCCTTGTTCCATATTTCAGATTTTTGGTATCTCACGCAAGGAAGACTAGAAAAGTACCACCAATAGTGATCCTCATAGCAAATAAAGCAGACCTAACGTACACTCCTGGCGAAAGGGTAGTTTCCACTGCAGAAGGTCGTCAGAGGGCAGAAGAGATCGAGGCCCATGCATTTCACGAAATTTCCGTCCGAGAATCCGTCGATCAGGTAACACTGACTCATCAATTTTTATTCCTCCATCATTTAAATAATTATCGATATACGAAACGTTCTTTATCTTGGCCTTTATTCTCTAAAGTTAGATGTATAATAATAGATTCATCGCCAATACTGTGTTGGTACTTCAATCTGACCTTGAGGAAAACAATATATACTACATTATGACATTTTCAGCTTAATAATAAAAATTGGTATGGCACATTTTTCAAATTGTGTTAAAGATGGTGGAAGAACCTGTTACATTATGATTCTCCTGTGTACAAATTTATGATTCTTGGTCAGTACACTATTTCTACTAATATATAAAAATATACCCAGCTGAAATGATACTCAGACTATACTCTAGTCGCCAATAAGTTATAGAAGGGGCTGGTGAGACATTGAATAATTAAAATACAAGACAACAATGATAATGACAAATGCTGTATTTTTAAATTTTCAATTTCAAATCATGCAAGTTTTAATATGTGAACCAGTAATAAAATACAGTATAGCGCCACTTTCGATATAAAATCATGCCATCCCAAGATGACACAGTACTACTTCGTAATGCTTTGAAAAAATCAGCAGTCATTGACACGGCGTTACGTTTCACGATAAAACTATAAGCTTTTGACGTAACGCTGACATTGACTCTTTTGTCATACATCTAACCTTAGGTGGCAAGGGCTAAGACACAGGCTATCCGACGTGTAAATTATGATCTAAGTCATACATAAGGTAAACAGTTACAAAACAACGAATTTATTGCACGAAGGCCACATCTATCTCAAACTGTATTTCTTCATTATACTTGTATCAAGTATTTCATATTTATACTTCTTGAAGTACCATATTTTAAGTACCGTTAATCTACTATACATATATATAATAATACTATAAAACACTGTATTATTTTATATTCTCGTTTTCTCGAATTAAGATCAGCCTGATCGAAATTAATTCTTCTTGAGAAACTTCTAAATCTGTGACTATAGGAAGTCTCGACTACAAAGTTGCACAGATAACAGTTCAAACGATATAGTTCCCCCACCTTCTAACTTCGTCTAATCTACGAACCTAGTATTCCCCAAAACAAAAATCTTCCACCTACCAGATCACGCGACACGAATTCTCGATAATCAGATTCATCGTTATCGTTAGGAAATTGCTTGTCAAAATTCGAATTACCCAAGGATCCCATCACACTTGTTTAATTTTCTAAAATTCGCCAGAGCCAGACACAACACCACGTCATCGACCACGAGAGCTTCGGCAGACAGGCTTCGATATCTCCAGAGAGCTGAATATTCGTGAGGTCTCGCCACGATACGACATCGAGATCATTGACGTAGCGCTACGTCATCGATCGCAAAAGAAAGTCTGGTCGATCAGAATGGATCGGAAATCTCGACGGGACCATGCTGTTGCTCGATCTGCTCGACTCACGGAAGCCCAAGAGGACGAGGGAAGGGGACAGCCTCGCGAATCGATCGTTCCGCTTTGTCTCGATCGATCTCGCGAGCAAAGCCTAATCGCGAGGCTCGGTATTTTTCTAAAACGATTGTTTACTCCTCTGGGAAACCGGTCATGGCGTTTACGCGTGATCGAAGAGTGGTAAACAAAATCTGTATCGTGGCGCAGAGCGGGTGATACCACGAGCATCTTGGAACGATCGTCCCCGCGTTATCGGTATCGTAATGTGCCGTAATTAAAAATTTGTTTCACAATTAATTACCCCTGGGCCCGAATATAATCGGACCTCGAACGATGTTGTGGTCGTTAGCAGTGTTCGAGCAACAGGTCCCTTTGTCGTTCACAGACCTCTTATTATCGGTCTTCTCGTTTATCTTGGAAAATATTCCCTTCTCTTAAAATTGTATTCCTTTGAGTCGTTTTTCGAAGTCTCGAAGTTTTGGAAGCTTCTCACGATACTGTAGTCTTGATCATGGTATTATATCGGAGGAAATGTGAGGTAGAGGTGTGAAAGTAGAAGGAATGCTTTGGAGATCGGTGATGTTACACGTGTCTCGAACCACTGGTATGGATGCGAGCGAAAAAATGGTACGAGTGATAATGCGACCGGTTTTAAACGTAGTTTATGAGAAAAATATATGAAACATAATCGTCATAGTGGCTGAATAGATAATCCCGCGAGGTTATGTAACGATAGCAGCGGACTGGCCCGATTATTTTTATTCGACAGGTCATGGCCGTTTTCACCGACATCTTCAAACTGTTGACGGAATTGCCGGGCAATTCTGGACAGCAAACGAGTTCCTTCAGGGTGAGAGCCTCCACTGACGGGACCTTGGACGCTACCGTTCGGGGAACTCTGCATTGACTCAGGGCGATCTTAAAGCTTGTATTGTGAGCTTCCTTCCTATGATTCTATTGTAATTCTTCGTGTTGTGGGAAATGTTGATTGTTTCGTGTCGTTTTACAGTTCTAACGGGTGTATTTTGTTGGCTTTAAAGTATATTTTTGGAATTATTTAACATTAACTAACTCAGTGGTTCAATGAAATTTAGCAGAAAAGGGTAAATGGATTAATTTCCTGAAAATATTAATTATAAATATAATATGTAGTGTAATACATTGTTTAAGGAATTGCTAAGGAATTTTTAGGAAATTTCGAAGCTTCTTCATGTAACTCTTACTTCAAAGTATTTTGCACTTATTGCTGTTGTTGAATACATAAGTTGTATGGGATTTGAAAGATGGATCAACATGTTTGTATAAAATGGTACTTATTAATGTCAAGTTTCTGTTATATTGTCTAAGTAAAATGACAATAAAGAAAGAGTATTAAAATTCATCCATGTCTTATTGCGAGTGCAAGAGCTTTTGGATTTTCGTCCTGAATAGCTGCTCTGCAACGAGCTACTGTGTTCGAGGCACTTTTTCCAACTGAAACAAAATCCAAATATCACGTAACGAAAGTATATAACAGACAGAAACTATTACCTCTTAATCTAGCTGCACGTTGCACGCCAAGATTAAGCTCCTTTAAATTCACTGTAAGTTCTCGATAGCTCTTCATCCTGATCTCGTGTTCCCTGATTAGATCAACGTTGACATTCTTCAGTTGTACGAGTCTCTTCTTCATTTCATCGATATTCTCGAGAATTCTTGCATCTTCCAAGCGAATTATAATATTTTTCAATAAAGTAGTCTCGTTGGCTGTCTCCGCTTGCAGCTTAACATCGATTTCCTTTAGCTCTGTGACCAGATGACTAATTACATCCTACAATGTCTTTCTAATAGAAATATAATTCTTTATCACTCTAGTAAGTCACCTTTCACGCGTTCCAATGCATCCAGCAGCTTCTTCTCTTCCACCGGGAACGAAACCTCAGAAGTAAGTTCCCTGAGGCCTAAATATAAGGCTAGCGACTGAATAATATCACCAGCAAATGTGGGATCCTCTGTTTGAATAGTTACTTTCCCGGTTGCATCTGCCATGAAACAATGAATCTTGTTGTCTCTCATCCCGCAAAGCCACATTTCAATGCTGCCGTTGTTCGGCTTCTCCTCTTTAATTTCGTATTCTTCAGGGAGTATGAGACTTTGATTCAGCCAGAGCGCGATTCTTTGAGGTCTTTCTGCAAGCTAATTACGTATAAATAAGTACCGTACATGCTCAAGGCAGTTTATCCCTATCTTTCTTCAGCTGTCAAAAATAATAGCAAAAGATTCGTAATTCTAAGTCCATTAGAACACGTACCTCAGCTGTGACGCTATTTTTCGTGAAATCCTCTGTAATCCGTATGGGCCGTTTGATGACTTGATACATGCAAAACCTCGGCAACTGACGTGTCATTTCGAACACCTTAAACGTGGTAAATAGATCAGACAAATGCACCAGGAATAAATTTCTTTTGGTAATAGTCTTTCCATGCTACCTGTAACAAATCTGCACCAGCTGGACCAACGCACACTTTCACGTGTATGTCCACAGGGGCGTTTTTCGGTGGTCGAAGCTCAATTTCGAGTTCCCCTCTAGGTCTACTAGGATGAATCACCTGAGTTTCACCCTCGAACACTCCTTCGGTGAAAACTATCGCGCAATGTATCTAAATACGATTGATACAGTTGCATACTATTCGTATAATTTTGAGCAATCTTATACAAAAATTTGTAGACATTGAATGACATACCAGAAGTCCAGGTCCAGAAGCAAGGGCAATGCGAGCCGCACCCTCGGATGTCATCAGACTAACTGCTAACTTCGTTCCATGATACATGTTCGGAACAGAGGCAGCTCTTTGTCTGAGTTCCATTTGAAGCATCTGCTTTTTGGCCAATAAATCGCGCATAGCTTCACCAGGTTCCGGAGTATCCATCGTGGTACCAGAACCATAGCCACGCACTGAAGTCAACACCATTTAAGATAAAACTAAAATATCAATTTTTCAATTATTCAGTCTCTATTGACTTTTTAATACAACATAATTGTCATGTAGCATTGTGTGATTTAGTATAGTATATTCTGAAATAATTAAATAATTTAATTGTGCTGGTATGGAAAAGGGTCACTATTGTACCTTCTCCAGAAGAAGACATTATGACTAAATCAGATTTGCCGATCCTCCTGTAGTCGGCTTCCACGATACCAGCCACTCCGACGGATAATTGAATTTTAAAAATTACTTCCCCGCAATTGGCCAACCTTGCATCTACCTTTCCATTATTCCAGCCAGTTATAACTTCTGGAATCCCGTCCCCGTTCAGATCGAAGCTCCTTGTTACCACCACCCGATGTTTCGACTGAAAAATTTATGGAATCGAATGTTCCTATAACTCAAATTCAGTATTCATGTAGCAGACTTCGCTTAGGAATCTCCGTTGTACAATTTGGGCTAACCTTAACGCGCCATAGTCTTTGAGCCATCTCATAGACACCAAGAGTTCCATTTCCTACTGAGTAAACGAATCTTCTGTTAGGGAGACCGGTTAAGGTGGTAATTGGGGCAGTTTCTTTGGCATCCCAGATCAGATTGTCCTTCTTGTACGCCTTTATCTCAAAATCCTTCGTTCCGATTACCAACTGTATATTTTAATAATTAGGATAAATAGTAGGATTAATGAAAATAAAAATTAATATTAAGAAGACAATTGTTCCTCGAGCTTGATACTTTTTAGATTATTTTACCTCGTTCTCGTCATCTCCATCAAAGTCAAAAACGGTTAGAGAAGTGACAACACCTCCTACCACTGTCCAAAATATTTCTGTACCTTGTAAGTCTAAGACTGTCACAGAAGAATTGCCACCAACGATTGCAACTTGATTAGGTAGCCAACTCAGTTTGCCAATAATTATACATCTTGCACCATCAGACATCTGATTGCGAGAGTAATTTAATTTTTATGTTCTCTTTGAATTGTACTTGTTCAATTTGATTAGAATACCTCTTTATAAAAAATATCAGAGTTGTCTTCTATATGGTAGGCTAGAACGTGAGTTGAAGTTCCAATTAGGAGGATGTCTCTATCATCCTCATTAAGTCGACCGGTACATAATGCTGTAATCTAGCGATATATATGTAGATACCAATTAAATTGTAACTTTAGGAATCTTAGTAAATTTTTATAAGATTCGTAATTAATTAATTATACCTCAGACCCTATCTGAAGTTCCGCAAGCTCTCCGCTCCAAGATAATTTTCTATCGGACTGTTCGTGATCATGACCGGTTATTTGTGGTTGCCTGTGAGGGCTATGCACCAAAATATTTCCACCATAAGTTACAGCCACTAGACAAGCATGAGAGCCATCGAATTTCCCGGAACTTACAAGTCCAGGCTCCACGTGTTTTTGGATATTCAAAGAAAACGCTGCCATGTTATATTCCACACGAATGATCACGCATTTTCCAATGCATAATGGTAACAGTTTGTGGCCTTGTTCATTGGGGGTAGATTATTGATCTTTCCCTGCCTTACCTGTGAACTTTACCTGATGTACTATACTATATATGGTAAATGCTATATAATTGTAACAGTTGGCTTTGGGAAGAAAATATATCGTAACATGCTAGTACATCTTACATTGGACACAATTTCAATGTTGCACTTTATTAGAAAGAGTAAATAGTAAAATAGAAAAATAAAATATAAATAAAGAAATTTAAGTAAATCATAAAATTTATTCAGCAGAAGATACAATCATAGTTTTTACAACTGTAATTGTGAAATTACATTGTAAGTTTATAAATAAACAGTTTTTACAAACACTCCTGGAGACACCACATACACTATAAATTACTATCTTTGGGCACTACCACCTGCTGCTCCAGCTTCTGGATTTGCTGCTGCTGTTAATGCAACGAAGATCAATGCAGGAACAACGTATATCCACTGAAATACAAAGTATAATACATAAATTGTATTTTACAAAATAAAATATCCAAATATTGATTAAAACAAGAAACCTACATATCTTGCAAGGAACGATCTATTATCTTTTGCCTCTCCTCTTTCACTCACTTATATATGTAGCAGTATCTGGAATTGGCCCACCATCAGGGTATTTAATAACTACATTAGTTGTCCACATGCTTGTAAATGGATTTTCTGTGCTACAAGGACCAGGTGATGACAAGCTTACAGCTATTGGCTCCGCTGTACTATCCAACCAAATTGTTATAAGATCTTCAAGATCAGAACCGAGAAGATAGCACTGTAAGAAAAGAAACGATCATAAGTAAAATATGAATGTATAAAGTACAGATAGTGAAAGAAATACAATTACCGCTGGTATAGAAGTTAAAAATGTTACTTCATTTCCTGAAGAGGTACGGGCTACTACGTGAAGTCTATATTTACCATCATATTTGGCAAGATTTTTTAACTGACCTATATGAGTTTGTAATAATCCATTTTGTCCAATAGCGGAGGCACCGCTACGAACACTTGACACTGTAATGTTACCTCGTTCTATAAAAGCGGGCTCTGGCTCATCATTAAATGCATGCCATAATCTTAAATGTAACGAACTATCATAATCGAGTTCACTCTAAAATTTTAATGAATATTTTCTTAAAACATGACAGAATATTAAACATTATTATAAACATTAAAATATACTAACCCCACGAGTCAATGATAATATGCTGACCAATAAATTTATACACATATATATTACGCGCATTATTAAATTATTTATTTTATATAATGTACAAAAAAATCAAATTCTCATTTTATACCATTAAAATGATTTATAATTTATTTATAGAATAATATGAACAGAATGTGCGAATTTCCGCACTATGATACAAGTGGTTTAACACAACCTACAAATATTTACAAAGGATTACTATTCATATTTTTATATGTTCATAATTTAATTTTATTAAATATTTTGATTAATTTGAATTATTATCGGACTTTATTTTTCATAATTTGTTTAAAATATTCATTGGGATTTAAATACACTTTGTATGACAGTACAATTATTTTTGCTACGTCTTTATTGGTTAGTTTCTAGTATAAATTTACAAAATATATGATTTTGAATAAAGTACTATACTTTCTTCGCCAATCATATTACATTTACTGCATGGTATATAGCAGGACTACGCTTATATGAATTTCATAGTAACTTTTCTTCAATGTGCCATGTCTTTGCTATAGAATATGTTAGATATACTATTGTGCCCTAGAAAATTTATGATGAGAATATATACATATTTCAAAAAGTATTCCATAGTTGCAAATAACAAAATTATATTATTATTTTATATTTGCTTGTCAAAAGAAGATAGGTTTACGCAAGCTCTGAAACATGTAAAAATTATGCTATAATGATTCTACTACACGAATACACGAACTAAGGTACATTCATCATAACTTTCTTAGATATTGCTAGTATGAACTTTGTAAACTTTTGTATACTGTGTAATACTTGTATAATATCGTATTGTGTTTACTACGAGATATCTACGCAAAGGAATGTCTAATACTTTATTAATGTATGGTATTTTAGGCTTCATTTTAAGTCGTGTTGTTCATCTTTGTGTTACATGTATTATTATTACTGCTTGACGTAGTCATATTAACGGACCATTGCGCATCGAAGAAACAGAACAGTTTCTACTGAGTGTGAGAGAGATGAAACGATGCCGCCAAAGCACTGGCATCCACAAAGATTAGAATTAACAAATAGAATTCCAATTAAATATGAATATAACAATTAAATTCAACTTTAAAGAAAATGTATATGAAAGTTAGTCAGAAATAGAATATTACATTTAACGTACGATTAAAAAATGGTCGAGAAAGTATAACAAATTTTGTTCTAACAGATTTTGAATCTGACAAAGTTCGCGGCCACAAACAGACATCTTATTAACCACACTACATTCATTGATAATGGAGGGAGTTATATGTCTGTAGATAAATTAATGTAATAACCATAACGTTAAATATTTTAAAAACAAAAGCCATTTACACAAAAAACCGGATACTATTCGAGTCAGAAAAGTGAGTATTAGGTCTTCCGCCCTTTATTTGTAGGCGCGAAAAGTAGGGGTAATGGACGCGGTCAGAGTGTCCTCTGTTTCTGTGTCATCATTCTGGACATTTTGTAACGCGCAATATTTATGTTTCAATATAACGTGTGTTTAAAGTATCAATAACAGTAATGATACTTAAAATTGATCGAAAATTTTATTGTATCTTTATTTCTTAATTTAATTTATCATTTTTATTTAACGAAATAATACACAGTGTTGTAAAAGTTGTAACTACGTTTACTAAAATAATTTATAGTAAATTTTATAATATTATATATGTCATGTTTCAGTGTATATTTATACACGTAAATTTCACTTAAACCGTAGTTATATTCATATCTGAATTTCGGTACAATAACAGTATAATAAATTTATTAAGGTAAATATAATTATTGATATAATTTTGTAACTATTATACATGTGTAATAAATACGAGTTCAAGTGTTACTTTACGAAATAATTTGCATTAATTTGCATTTTATTTTTCATAGATGAGTGACAAAGATCCAACAAGTGTTATCAAAATGATAAAAGATTTAAGATCTGGTTCTGAAGCATATCGTAAGAGTAGTAGTAATACTATGTCATTGCGATTATCGGGTACTGCATTTCCAACTCCATTATTTGGTGACTCTGATGGATGCAACATTTCTCCTAAAAGGCCGAGGCTGAGTGACTCTAGTAATTCTAGCTTCAATAGGAGTGAGCTAGACACTAATGCTCCAGGTAGTCCCTGGGAATGGACAAGGTTAAAAGGAGAGGTAATATATTTTCAATTACTGTTGTACATAAATATTTAGAAAAGGATAATATCAAAGAAATATATCTATTTTATTAGGTTGTATCTTTAAAAACCAGATTGTCTCATCAGGAGGCTGCTATACAGCAGCTTCATAAAATACGTAGACAGATGGAAGAGGTTTTTGAAAAAGAGAAAGGCATTTTAGAAATGCAGGTGGAAAGGGACAAACAAACAATAAAGCAGTTAGAAGTACGACTTGATATTTCTCGTAGAACAATTCAAGAAGCACGTGATGCACAAGCTGCTGCAGAAAAAGAATTGTTTCAAGTATAGTGATTATGTTTAATTCAATTAATCATTTTAATATTCCTGTTTCTATGTTTTACATATAAAGTATATTGCTTATAGGTAAAAACGAATTTAGAACAGAAGATAATGACATTAATGAATGAAAATTCAAAGTTATTAGATGATCTCAAACATGCACCGGTACATGAAAGTAAACCAGTAATGAAGGAAGTTTCCGATGTATCTGATATACAGCTAAAATTCGATGCAGCACAAACGAGAATAACACAGCTGGAAGAGAAATTGAAAGAATATCAGACTAAGCAGCAAGAAATGGAATTGCAAAATGTAGAACTTCAAAGTACAAAAATAAAAATTGAGAGGTTAGAATCAGAACGAGCGTTATGGGAGGAAGGAAAATTATTAACTGCGAAAGCGGCGAGAGCGAATGAACTTGAGAAAGAGCTCATCGCCGCAAAAGAAACCATCATGACGTTAAGAGAATCTGTTCGGGGGAAGTTACTTCTAGAAGAGCAAATGGCTAACGTGATGAAAAGGTATTTTTTTTTAAACTTTTGTATGAACATTCATTATTGGTTTACCTATTGATCTCATTGTATATCTTTAAATATATTTGCAATTTTATAGACTAGAACATACAGAAAAAGTAGAACAGCAAGTTGCTACCCTTGAAGCAAAGAAAACGGAGCTTTCATTACGTCTAACAGAGTATGAATCTATTGGAATTATTGGTGGACCAGCTGCCTTAAAACGGGAATTGAATCGATTGCAACAAGCTGAATTAGTCTTAAAGGCGGAAGAAGGACAGCTGAAATCGAAACTCGATGCTGCGTTGAGGGAATCACATACTCTCTCAAAGAATTATGAAGATGCTAAAAAATTGGCCATGGATGTGACAGTTTCCAAGGAAAAATTGAACAAATTAGTGAGTAGGTTGCAAAAGAAGATGATCCTTGTTACAA